GAGCGGTGAACTAATTTTCGGCAGCCGGAATTTCAGTGCATCTCTAATTATTGGCGACACCAGAAATGGATTTTATATAATAGCTGCTTTTTTGAACATTTTACCAATTTAAAAATATTACAAAATGATTTTTTTACACGGCACCCCTGCTCTCGACAGACGGCACCCCAGTTGGGAAACACTGTTTTAGAGTGTAACCCCTTCCTTGCTGTCCACTTTTTTACTGCATTGTAGTTGAATTATTGCTTTTATTTTACATATTTGCTGTGTTGTCACACCAGTTCATAGGTGTGTGTGTGTGTGTGTGTGTGTGTATAAGTGCGTGTGTGAGTGGATGTGTTGGTTTTGCACTCTTGATGTTTTAGAGTTTCACCCTGTCATTGCTGTTTACTTTTTTCTGCATTGTGTCAGATTTGTAGATTGTACAAACAAAAATATCAGAATTTTTGTCGATTTCCCATTCATTTCCTATGGTCGGTAATTTTTGACCAACGACCACAAGTGTGACTATTTTTTTTTCACGTCCACTGGTCTGCTCAAATCATGCCCTCAATTCTTTTTGTGTTTTCACATTCCAAATGCCACCAAGTTTCGTACCATCACCAGAGGGTTAAACCCAGATCAGATTCAGTAAGTTGTTGAGCTCTTGGTTTCAGTTAATGCCAGTTGTCATAAAATTAGCATTAAATCGAATGCTAGTTGAAATGGACTGACTTGTCTTATGATAGGTAGATCATCTTGCACCAGCAATCAACCAGATGGTCATACCATGTTAAAATGGTCAGGGTGGGACATGGTAGCTGATGACCAGCTTAGACCAGCTAAAAACCAGCAACCAACCCAAGTTGATCATTGAAGCCATTGGTGGCTTTTGGGAATCACAGTGGTAGAATTTTCAGCACTTTTTTGATATTCCTAAAAAATAACATTTTATTTTTTTCGTCTTCACGTTTCGTAAATCTCAAAATTAATATCCATTTTTTCATACTGCGCATTATAATATAAAAAAGTTGGTGGCTTGAACTTTTTTTTTTTTACTTGGTTTAAGCACAGTGACCATCATTTTTATTGGCCCACAACTAATTTGGTTACACGGACGTTTACACAAACCGCAATATCTTAGCTTAGGATTGTAATTAATTAGTACAAAAACAGATCTTTACAGCTCATTATAAGAAAAAAATACAGAAAAAGGTGTGAGAAAGTGCCATGTTTATAAAAAATGTCCCTCAATTTAGAGGGAAAGGATTATTTCTGGTGGGGGACCAAATAAGAAGCTGAAATTTTCGCAGATATATTTCCTCTATGATAGCATTCTGCTGTAAAAATTAGAGTATGAGATTATGCTGGTTACAGACCTAGAGCTAGTAGAAATCTTGGGAAAACCCTACAGTATTCATGTACTGTTAGATATGAATGTAGTATGAACATAATAAATAATAAAAATGAACAGTATTTTACAGTAATTATGTTTATGATTGACATCATAGCTTTTGTTTGTTAATGAAATCTCAAACAGTGGCTTTAAAGCAGGGTCTAGGGACCACTAGGGGGCCTCGGCAGACATCCAAATTTTAAAGGGGTCCTATTATGCTCTTTTACAAAGTCTTGATTTAAACTGCACTTTTTCACCCTTTCTCACGCCCATTTAAAAAAAAAAAAAAAAAAAGTTCTGCATGCATGCTATACTTATTTATGACTAAGACTCGCATCCTTCCCATTGTAAACTGACCCTAAATGTTGAACCCTGCGCAATATTGATCATTACATTTGGCCTTACATTTTAAGTCTAAAGAACAACAATTTGCAAATGTTGTGGGCCATGATGGCCTATGTGGTTAAACTACATAAAATAAAAAATATTGGTTTTGTAATAACAATACACAGAGGTAATGGTCAAGCAGCGTTCACTGGACCACTTGAAATGAAATTACCCTAAACTCACTCAATATTTAAATGATTAATTTTAACACTAATCGTTTGCCACCTTATTCCCTTCTTAAAATGCAATGCCAGTGTCACTTGCTCCAAAATTAACTTAAATGATTTTAGCAAATGGCTGCAATATAACAAAGAGTGAAAAATTGAAGGGGGTCTGAATACTTTCCGTACCCACTGTATGTGCTCCTCTCTGCTGGTCTGATTAGAGGAGTTCAGTGGATGGAAGATTGTACAGAATGGTGGTGACTGCTGGCCAGTAGAAGATAATTTGGTAGCAATCCCAAATTGCACAGTCTCAAAATACTTTGTCGCCTCATACTGGTAAGTTTGACATGACCTAAATAAATGTATTTAACCAAAGAGATAATAACTGAGGCCTTCTTTGTCACCCATAAACTTTGTCCTCAAGTTATGTTTAAAGCAACAGCTGATTGATTTGAAGAAAGAAGGCTACAGAGCTGCTTGAACAGAGACTGGAGAGTGTTCGCTCAAACTCTGATTTCATGATACAGTATCAGTGGTTTATATGTCATAGCAGTTAATAAAGTTTAATTTGCGAATGTTTTGTCTGGTACAGGTACGGGCCGTGCTGCGATTGTGGAAGCATGTATCAGTGTGGAGCCTGAACCAGTTTTCCTTCCACAGTGGAATGATCAGCAGTGGTGTGAAGTGAGTAGAAGAAAAGAAAATTATGAAAGTTATAAGTGCATCTATCAGTGTTGCACGTGATTTGAAGTCTCTATCGCGATCATTCTGTATTTGTATTTATTTTTGGACTACATATAAATCAAGTTTTAGCTGTTTATATTTCAAAAGGCCTCTTGGCCCTCCTTTCTTATTTATCAATGCCTTATTATCTATCAAACATTGTGTTACACTGACACTGAGAACCTTAAAGGGATAGTTCACCCAAAAATAAAAATTCTGTCATCAATTACTCACCCTCGTGTCGTTCCAAACCCGTAAGACCTCCGTTCATGCATGAGAGAATACGTCATGGTACTCTTGTGAACGGGCGTCGAAGACTGACACGGAAGAGAAGAAATTGTTAAATAAAGTCGTTATTTTTGTTTTCTTTGCACACAAAAAGTATTCTCGTAGCTTCATAACATTACAGTTAAACCACTGATGTCACATGGACTATTTCAATGATGTCCTTACTACCTTTCTGGGCCTTGAACATGTCAGTTGCGTTGCTGTCTATGAAGGGCCAGAAAGCTTTTGGATTTCATCAAAAATATCTTAATTTGTGTTCCGAAGATGAACGAAGGTCTTACGGGTTTGGAACGTGCAACCCACGCGACTAAATCTTCACTCTGGGCGACTAAATGATGTCTAATATTAGCCAATGGATTTCAGATTTTACTGCCAGTGTGTGAGTTGGAGGCTATGTATAAATTTTGGAACAGATATATTTTCACGTGCCGAACACTCTCTGACTGAGTGCTTCAGAGTTTGACTCTCCGTCAAGTGATCTGTGCTATTTTTGAATAGATGCACAGCGCACCTCTATTTGACTTGACGCAAAGAGAAGAATTGACGCGCTACATGGAAACGATATTCTTTGTTGTATTTTCCTGTCAAAATAACAGCGATCCTTTGGAATTCTTCAGCTTTTAAGAACTGCCGGGTTTTCCTGTAGTAGCCGGAACTAATGCGCAAACGACAATCTCATTGGCTGGTGCTCACCTATTATCGTCCCTGTTTTGATTTCAGCGAATCAG